GTAACAAGTAAATCTTTTCCTTATAGAAAATTTTTTTAAGTAAACTTCAGATATTTGTGTAAACTTATAGAAGAAGTGGTTCAATGACATTCTAAGAGAATACTCCCAGAGTTTTATAATGATGTGAAAGCATCCAGCAGACTAAAACAAGCAAAAAAATATAAAATAACTTTAAAATGTGGCCAGAGAGATAGAACAAGGGTGAAGGCTCTGGACTTGAATGTGTCCATGGCTGGCCACGACACTGATTTGAATACCAGGCACCACATGTGGTCCCCTGAGTACTGGTAGAGATCACTCCTGAACACAGAGCCAGGAATTGCCTCTGGGCACCTTTATTTATGACCCCCAGACAAACAAATAGCTCTCAAATGATACTGAAAGCTTGATGGGCATTTCATATTGAACAATAAAGATTAGGTTTAGTTAGATTTTTTTGCCATACTATTAGGTAACCAGGAAAAAAAAGATCAAAGGAAATGAGAATGGGAAAACCAAGAAAGAAGAAATTAATACCCAGATTTTCATAATTAATATTGCTCTACCCATGTGTACACAAGGATAAGAAAATAAACTGATATTAGAAGACAAAGCATTTATTTGTTTTTTCTCTTTTTTTCACATGTTGTTAATTATATGAAGAATAGAGACTCATTCTAAACAAATGTTGTAGATGATAGATAAGTTTAATTTTATTTCATACTCATTGACAAAAACATTTTGTGAAGTAAGAAAATTGTCATACAGTTAAAAGAAAAATAAAGTGAGATGAAAATTTAGCCCTCTGATAAAGGTGAGAAGTGTCTTAGCTTTTGAAATTGGAAAACAGAAGGTTCAGAGATAGAAGGAATTTCTATTTTTTAACGTAGAAGTGTTATTACACTAAATTGTCTTCATCCAAAGATCAGTTCTGCGCTTCTATCAAAGACTGGCAAGGGGGGAGGGTTTCAATAACAGAAAGAGGAAATATAGCTAGAGATCAAGGAGAATCAGCACAGATAACTAATAACAATTTGTTCAATTGCAGGTACCAGTTATAATGCACACTTCAAAAAAATGCTATGTGAACCTAAACATTAGCTTTAAAACAAGTAAGAAATATATGAGGCATAATAGCTAAACAATTGAGCAGAATTCTTTTTCAAAGTTTGCATCATGTCATTATTCCCTCAACTTTGTATTGTAAGGAGGAATATTCTTCTCCAGGATATTTTTATTTCAAAAGTGAAATCCTTCTGATCTTTCATCCTTACCCAAGCATCACAATATACGCAGAAGAAATAAGTCTCGTGGATACATGATCCTAAGAGGATGTTTGAGTCCTAAGTCAGGAAATACTTATTTTGATGTAAAGATAATCCACCAATAGCAATCATTATCCAAGAGTGTGTGAGTGAGGAAAACAATGTTCCACCATGCATTTATTTTTTAATTTTATTTTTAAATTTACCTTTTAAAATTGAGACATAGTGAGAGTCACAGTTACAAAGTTGTTCATGATTGAGTTTCAGTCATACAACGCTCCAACACCCAACCCTTCACCAGTGCACATTTCCCACTGCTAATGTCCCCAGTTTCCCTCCCACCCCACTTCCTGCCTGCCTGCCTCTGTGGAAGGCACTTCTCTTCTCTCTCTGTCTCTGTCTCTCTCTGTCTCTCTATTTCTCTCTCATTTTGGACTTTATGGTTTGCCATACAAGTACTAAAAGATTATCATATATAATCCTTAACCTACTTTCAAACTCAGTTTTTGTCCAGAGTGATTATTTCGAACTATTATTGTCATATTGGCCCTTTCTATATGCTAACATCCCTTTGCCACCCACACACTTGTGGAAGTTTCCAACCATTGAGCAGTCCTCTTCCACCATGGGTTTATTACAAAGATTGGAGCCTAGTTCAGAGACTATGTTCATAGGTGTGCTTCTCAATTCTGATGTTTTACTGCGGATACATAAATGCAAATTCAAGAAAACAGCTGATTGTATCTTTATTTGTAGTTTTTCAGATGGGGATGGGATTTAGGTAGATGGGCATTTAAGAGGAAGAACATGCTCCACATTTCCATAAGTTGAAATGATAAAAATGTATTCACATGCTTGGCTTCTTTCCTTTCTGTTTTTGGTAAGATCACTCCTCTTTTCTCACCTTATCTTCTTTCCCCCTTCCCTCTTTCTCTCCCTCTTCCTTTCTTTATCCTTTCTTTATCCATTCCATTTATTATAAACTTCCTTTTATTGCTTAAATTCTACAATCAGTTGGTTGTTACCTTACTTAAAATTTATAACCCCACATCTATACAGCTATGAGAAAATCTTCAGGAATTCATTCTACTGCTGCCTTTGTATGCTTATTAAGTGTTGTTCCAACATTCAACAAAGCGTCATAATTTAAGTTCAGAAGTTTCAACTCAGAATCCTTCTCTTTCTTTTACAGATCTGTGGCCTGAGTAGGACAGATTCTACATATGAGTTTCATTTCCTCTTTATAAAATAAATTAATAGAGTGAACTGTAGTACAATACAGTTTAGTGTAGCATGTGCTACAAAGAGTGTGAATATTGCTCTTAAAGAAAGCATAATGTATGGTCATTGGATATGGGAATTAATACAAAACTTAAAACATGACTGGCACAAAATGAGTTAATATAGAGTTAAATAAATATTTTATTTTACATTTACATATTTTACTATTACTGGTTTGTTTGGGGTGGCACACCCAACAGTGCTCAGGACTAGCTCTGTACTCAGGGATCGTTCCGTGTGTTACTCCTGGAGTCATATGGGCTGCTGGGGATCAAACCCAGTTTTGCCTTGGGCAGGAAGATGCCCTACCCACTGTACTATGGCTCTGGTGAAATACACATGTAGCTATTTTCTTGTCTTAGGACAGTGAACAAAGAGGATGTTTGTGATAGTGTCTACAGAGAACTTGGGAAGTCAACCAAGGGGCTGGGTGGGGGACAGTCTAGTGAAGTACATACTATTTTCTGTTTTGATTATCATTACCCATTCTTCTGTCTCAGACATCGGCAAAGCTGTGTGCATTTTAATTTTTTTCCAAAATAATTTTTTTGCTATTATTGTTAACTCGTTGTTGTGCAATTGATTCATCAGAGTAAACTCTAGTGAAAAGAAACATCTGAGTTTGTCCCCAGATCTTTGCAATACCATTCTCACTTTTTTCTTAATATCCCTTCACTTTCCTATCTTGAGAAATGACTTCAGTGAAGACTTGAGTCAGAGGCATTGTGCCTCCAGTGGTCATAGTGCAGAACTGCACCAGGATTTGGCTGCGGGCAGATGCTGGGCATCACTTGGCTTGACTGTCATTGGAATATTATGCTGCCATGAGGATATCATGGGAATATTCTTGGAGAAATAAGCTTTATGGAAATCATGACTATGTTGAAGCAATGATAAAAGGCTTGACCAAAGGAAAACTTTGGTTAACTTCTTCTCTCTTGTGGTGCCACCTGACTCCTTTGAAGCCCAGACCATTGTGGACATTGTCAAGGCCCTCGGCTTGAATTATGTGTTGACACTGGCATCTAAAGGAAGTTATGGAGAGAAAGGCGTGGAGTCCTTCACTCAGATTTCCAAAGGGGCAGATAGGAAGAGATTGCGATGATTAAGGTTACTGACATGCTTCCAAATGTCTGTGGCTCTACCAGTTGTTTTCTAGGCCTTTTAAACAAAAAGAAAAAGGACCATAATCAATAGAATTTTCAAAACAGAGTCCACTCGAGTGTAGCTTGGCATCTTGGAGCCCAAGTGTTTGACTGTTTGCTTAATCTCAGCCAAAATCAAAACTTGTCTTTATTTTATTTTATTTTATTTTATTTTTATTGTGGCTGGAGTGATAGCACAGCGGATACGGAGTCTGCCTTGCACGCAGCCAACATGGCTGACGCAAGTTCGATTCCTCCACCCCTCTCGGAGAGCCCGGCAAGCTACCGAGAGTATCTCGCCTGCACGGCAGAGCCTGGCAAGCTCCCCGTGACGTATTCGACATGCCAAACACAGTAACAACAAAGTCTCCAATGGAGACGTTACTGGGCCCGCTCGAGCAAATCGATGATCAACGGGAGGGCCTTTACCTTTACCTTTTTATTTTTATTGGATCACTGTGAGATACACAGTCACAGAATTGTTTATGATTGTATTTCATTCATAGTGTTCCAGCACTATCCCTGCAACATTTCCCACCACTAATGTCCTTAATTTCCTTCATGCTAACAGCCCCACCACAAGCCTACCTCTATGGCAGGTACTTTTCTCCTCTCGATCTCTCTCTGTCTCTTTCTCTCATTCATACTCTTTCCTTTTGGGCATTATTGTTTACAGTACAGATGCTCAAAGGTTATCATGTGTATCCCTTTCCCTACTTTCAACACTCAGTTCTTGTCCAGAGTGATCATTTCCAACCATCATTTTCCTGCCGATCCCATCTCTGTCCCGACTGCCCTATATGCCCTGTACACTTGTGGCAGCTTCCAACCATGTGCCAATTCTCCTGGCTCTTGTTTCTACTGTTCATGTGTATTTGTCTGATACTCTTCAAAAGTTGTCTTTAGGTACTTGAGTAACCCTTATGACAAATCTGGAAAATTTCAACCAGAAAGATAGTAGAGGAAGAACTATGGACTTGCCTTCCATAGGTCTGACCCAGGATTGATCCTTGGCACCACATATAGTACCTGCTAGCACCAACTCCCTAATGCAGAGCCAGAAATATCCCCTGAGCACTGCCGGGTATTGCTCAAACACACTCACCCTGGAATACGAACAGAGAGGAGATTGCAGATGACCAAAGGACGGTGCCCCAAGCAGTTTGGGGCTGCTGTCCATGGTGCCTGCCACCCGTAGTACTGAGTAAAGTGTGCTTCCCCCTTGGAGTGCAAGCCCAGTGCTTTAAGTAAACGCGCAGTCGCCTCGAGTGCCAGTGGGTCTCTCCCGTCCTCCTGGAGTGCTCTCATGCGGTGCTCTCTTGCCTTTCAGATCCCTCAGATCAGCTACGCGTCCACGGCGCCCGAGCTCAGTGACGACCGGCGCTATGACTTCTTCTCCCGTGTGGTGCCACCCGACTCCTTCCAAGCCCAGGCCATGGTGGACATTGTCAAGGCTCTCGGCTGGAATTATGTGTCAACACTGGCGTCTGAAGGAAGTTATGGAGAGAAAGGTGTGGAGTCCTTCACTCAGATTTCCAAAGAGGCAGGTAGGAAGAGATTGCAATGGTTAAGGTGACCCACATGCTTCCAAATGTCTTTGGTTCTGCCAGTTGTTTTCCAAGCCTTTTATACAAATGATATAGAAAGTAATCCTCAGTGTGCTCTCCCAGGACTCTGCCCATGAAGCAGGCCCGGAAGGTCTTCCTCTGTAACTGTGTGTGTTTTCTTTTTCATTATTGAGTCACCATGAGTTACAAAGCTGATCATGGTGGAGTTTCAGTCATGCAGTCTTCCAACACTTATCCCTCCAAGTTTTTGAAGAGAAGTTTTTTAAAAGTGTGAGAGCACGTTCTTTTAAAGAGTTAGTGAAATAGATGAGATGAAGACACTAAAATTGCTGTCTCACTTCCGGATGCTGAGTAAGGGCGTGGCATCCAGCCTGTGCCTCCAAGCCTGAGACCATACAGGGTGACACGCGTGTCCACGCACACACTTCTTTCTGCCTCTTCCCCAGGGAAGCAGATGCTCTGTCCACTGTGGCACTCTTTGGAGGGGGGTGACCATGTGACTCCAAAGTGACTTGGCCAGTGCAAACTCAGATAAATGATCCAGGCAGCAGAATACATTTAGACAAATGGTCTTTGATTTTTTTTGGATTATTTTGAGAAAGACAGTTCTTTTAAGTAGCACTTGAAGAAGTTTCTTTGATGTTTGTTTATGTAGCTCAAGTTGAAAGTAATAGATTTAAGTGTTTGGCCAGCTGGCTCCATTGGGCAGATCTTGAAAAATGATGTGAAATCCTTACAGTTACTCTTCCTGACAAATATTCAGGTGCCTGCATGGAGGTGTTGGCCAGAGTACCTGTATATGATAGGAAACATACTTGGCTTCACCTATATAGGGTTCTTATGCTAACTTTGGGTTCTTAGTTCTGTTTTGTAAGACTCACCTAATCCAAATTGTTGCTACCCGCAGAGCTAACTATGAAGGCAAACAAAGCAGATAGAAGGAAGTCCTTTTCATGAGGCAGGCTCTCCATCAGAAATCTGGAAAAATGGTTTTGTGTATTTGACTGTCAGACCACAGATGTACCTGAATATCTGCAGGTACATGGCCATTGAGATAGGCAGCCAGGCCTTTCTGTTGTATGCTTGCATTTTAATTCTGTGCATCCTTTTTAGTTATTGTTTCAGAAATGGGTTGGCTCTTACTCCTCTTCTCTAGACTGAAATTCTTTTACTTTAACACTTTGACAAGTTCCTAGTCATTGACAGTTTCAGTATAACTTCTGGTTCAATCAGCCTCCCTCATCCCCTACCAGTCACCAACACCAGCACCAACAACCGCAATTATGGTTCTCTCTGCTCAATAGTGTGTTTCTAAGTGCTTCCTCCCATAGCACTTACGGCGTCTTAGAGTAAACAGTATTGTTTTCTGTACCCAAGTCTCTAAGAGGCTGCCAGATCTGTCTCATTGCTCTTATAGACCAAATGGTTGCCATAATTTTAAGATAAACAATTCTGTTATAATTAAATTAGGAGCTTTCTGCCTAGGAGGAACAAAGATGGCCTGGTGCCTGTGTCATGCGGAGAACTCATTAACAATTGGTTTCATGAATCTCCAAATAGATAACCATATTTGGTAACTGTGATTCCATTCCTTTTCATTTTTATTTGATTCCTCCTTTGATCAAAATATGCCAGAGATTGTCTTAGATAAATATATATTATATGAGCATGGAAATCAATAATAGGTAAGCTAAAATGAAGATGAAATATAGGGGTAGAGAAAGCAGAGGATAGGTGATAATGAGGTTCAGAGGCCAGCTCGCTCTGCATGACTCTGAAATGACTTAGAGATTCAACGCTGAACTTTATCTGGGCAGAGCAAAGAGCACCAGTTGTTTTGTTGTAACAAGATACAGTGAATATTCCAGTATACACAGAATAGAACCCACTGCTTGTTCTGAGTCTTTATAAAAGATGATTTCATAGCCTGGTCAGTGATAACTTTCATGGGACTGTTGTACCTAGTATCACTCTGTCTTCCACAGAATGAGACTGGAAAGAAAACCCTCTACAATATAGTCTGAACCACCCCTCCCCTCCAGCACATGTTTGTAGCTAATCCTACCCCAAAAGCAGCCAGTGAAAAATAAAGGTGTGTATCATTGGCAGCAGGTTGAATGAACTTTAAATATGAGAGTCTAATCCTTCGGAAGGTAATGAAAGAAAAGCTGAAGAAAGACAAAAAAGGACATGTGCAACAGAAAATAGATCCTGGGTAGTTCTTCAGCAAACAGTGTGAAAATTGACAAGCATTCATTATATATTTTATTGCAACATGCCTTATATACAATTAAAGTGAAATGACTGAGAGCTTTGCAAAGGACCCCCTCTACAGACACTTGAAAATGGAAGATAAAGTGAGGGGGAAAAGACCATCAAATGAACTGTGGTGTGCATTCTCACTCAGTGTGTGTGTTTGTATGTGTGTGTACTTTTGTGTGTGTGAATCAGAGAGTGCTTATACCCCCTATATGTGTGACAGTAGGGGGTGACCCTGTGTACTGACACACCATATGTGTGAGTATAATTGTGCCCCGTGTACTCACTGTGTGAGAGTAGGAGTGTACCCCAGTGCCCCATGAACTCACTATGTGAGAGCACAGTGTACTCCACATATTCACTGTGTGTCAGTAAGAGTGTGCCCCATGTACTCACTCCTTGCGTGTAAGTAAAAGTGGGCCCCATGTACATACAGACCATCTGTGTGAATAGGAATGGGCCCTATCTACTCACTGTGTGTGAGAGTAGATATGTACCTCATGTGCTTACTGTATATAAGAGTATGAGTGTACCCAAGTACTCATGGTGTGTGTATGAATGTGCTCATGTACTCATTGTGTGTGAGAAAAGAGTATGCCCTGTGTACTCACTGTGTGAGAAGTAGGAGTATACCCCGTTTACTCACTGTATGTGAGAGTAGGAGTGTGCCCCATGTACTCATTGTGTTTGTGTGAGTAGGAGTATGTCCCGTGTACTTGCTTTGTGTGAGAGTAGGAGTATACCCTGTTTACTCGCTGTTTGTGAGATTAAAATTGTGCCCCCTCAGCTGGTTCACAGTATCAGAGAGCACTTGAGCAGAGAGCATGATTTTACATTGTGGGTGCTATCATGATGTAAGCATTTGCTACCCAAAGTGGATTTCAGCACATAGAGAGGAATGATCATGTACTACAATATTAAAAAGTAAACCACCTACTTTAATGTTAAGTCAAATCAGCAGAAATGAGTTATCGTATCAGAAATATAAAAGGGGTGAGAAATGTTTCTACTGTGCTTCTTGAGAGCACAGGTACATGGTGGTGAGGGGGGCTTCTTTAGGGGAGTTTCAAGGACTCTTTGCACTGCTTTGCTTCCCGCTGATCCAGGTGGCTCTTTGGAGCATTCTGTGGCCCAAGACATTCTGCAGGCAGAAAGACATGCCTTGAAATTCCTGGCTCTGTTGCTTTGTGCTGTAATAGTGTTGGTACACGATTTCCTTTTAAAGCTCAGATTCCAAGGGTGCAGACATTAAAGAATGATACCTTCTTCATCATCTTGGTGAAATCAATCAGGGGACATAGCAGAGAAATAGTCAACATATGGCAATCCCCAATATCAGTTCCTGCAAGACACCAGAGTTGAGTGTTAGAGCTTTAACACTTCAAAAAACTCCAGTGATAGATAACTTTTGCCCTCAGTCATAGTAACAAGGTGATTTCTATATGATGATAAACATTGCACATTTAGAATATAATAAATATATATGTATAATACATATTGTGCAACAAGAAATATTATATGACATTTGGTAGAAAACATATTGATAGTATTTAAATAATGCAGTGCAACATTATCCTAGTGTTCTTCAGCCTTCTTATACCCACTGTGGACTGGCACCTCTCTCATATACCACTGCTGGCAGTGGTAGACCAGTGATTTTTTTTAATCTTTCTGCACCTGTGGGTCAAACTAGCAGTTAATGATCATTGCATTATATTACATAATAATAGATCTTAACTGAGTTGCTAATCTTACTAACATACGTTTTCGGGTGACATATAAGAAGGGAAGAAAGTGAACATTGTTCTGTGCATGCTGCAATGTGCTTCTGTGTGTGTCTGTACATGCACAAGCATGCATACACAAATTCGATATGAGGGAAATTAAGAAAGCCCATGGCTTAATTAAGATGTTTTGATTTATCGATGACAGGCTGGAAGGAATCACTTACCTTCTTCTGGAAGACTGAACATTATCGTTCTCATTTGTTTGTTTGGTTCTTCACTTCCCATGCTCAGGGCTTACTCTGAACTCTGCATTCAGGAATCACTCCATAGTGTAGGAGTGGGAGGACCATATGGGATTCCAGGGATAAAACCTGGGTTGATGTCCTGCAGAACAAGTGCTCATTCACTGTCACTGAACTATCTCTCCAGCCCTGAAGACAATCCTTTTTAAATAAAATAAGTAACAATAAACATTTACCCTCTAGAATACTTCATTCAAAATTTTGCTACAGATTTAGTCCCGTACCAAAAGCTCTCTCTGGCTGCAGGAACAGCAGAGTCCCATCCAGGTGCTCAGTCAGTCCTGTTGTGATAGAACATTCCAAACAGCAGGCAGAGGAAATGCTCTGAGATGCAGCAGATCCCTCGTATTGGCGTGGGAACGGAAACGAGGGTACCAGCTGCCCAAAAAAATCATCAGTGACTCTGCTCTTATAGTCACAGATGACTTCCATATGCACACGTGCAATTCCTTTTTAAGCTTTCAGAAAGGACTGTGGCAAGCCCTCAGAGGGGGAGGAGGTTTTTGTAAAATGGTTACATTCGCATAAATTGCTTGGTTTATTTGAATGAATGCACATGGAGCATCAACAAAGCAATTTATCGCTTAGTAGCACAAGACATGAGAGAATATTCACTCCCAACATGCTTAAAAACTCAGACCTGCATAGTAAGCTGACTCGTCCAGAGCAGAGAGACCAGCCAGAAGTGGGC